ACTGTTGCTAATCTTGTCAGCAAGTCACATTAGGAATTCAAACTCAAGCATCCTCAAGATGAAATTTCCTGAGAAATTCTGAGTTTAGGTTCTAGACAACCATGAACAGGTGCCAGGTGTGCCAGGAAGAGACAGCTTTAGAAAATCATCATTTCAGTGAACTAAATAACAGCATTACTACTCTAACAAAAGCGACTGAAAATCTAATTTAGCTGTATGATTAGGTGCATTAATTTCATTCCTTTTTCTGTAATAAAAATCATAGAACTAATTTAGTATGAAATTAATTTCAGGAAAAAAATGAAGCAATAATAAATGTTAAAGTTCATACTATTTATGTACAAAATGCAATAATTATTAAAAATCATAATCCACCTATTTCTATGAAATACTAAGCTGAACTGATTATGTATTATATAATTCTGAGAATATTTAGTTAGCCAAGGATATAGCTCAGTGGCACAGCACCTGCCTCACAACCTCAAGGTTTGAGTGTGATTCCTGGTACAAAATAAATAAATAAATAAATATCTACCTTTTATCTTTTTTGAATAATCACCTTTTTATTTTTTTATTCTAATTAAGTTTACTGGTACAATTTAAATATGCATTATGATCACATTCACAGGAAATCTGCACTACATGCATGATAGATCTTGATTCCTTCCCCCCATTTTGCATTTCCCCTCTCTACAACTCTGCCTTAGCCTCCTTACTTACAGAGTATTATTTCCATTTTATCCTTTTAAAAAACTTTTTTATTTTCCTTGCCATCTCCTCCAGTTCCCCTTTCCCTCTGAATAATTACTTCCTATTTCACAATATCTGTTATACATTTTGATTTTTACTTAAACTTATAGTTTCTCACACCAGAGAGACAATATTTACACGCATGTATGAAATTTGTTTCACTTGAGTAGTCACAAGGTCCATCTATTTAGTTATAAATGTCTCATGTCTGTCCTTTATGACTGAGTCACACGCCATTGTAGAAAAAGACTACATCTTTTTATCCATTCATCAGTTGATAAACATTTGGGTTGTTTCTGAGATTTACAAATTACAAACTGTGCTGCTATAAACATGTATGTGCATATGTTGCTGTTGTATGATGCTTAAATTTACTGAGAAATTAGGGAAACCATTCATGCCTTTCCCAGAAGCATTTAAAAAAACGGAAGTATTTATGAATCAATCTAACAAAGGAAGTAAAAGATCTCTGCCCTGAAAACTACAATACTCCAAAAAAAGGAGATCAAAGAAGATATTAGATAATGGAAAGATATCCCCTGCTCATAGGTAGTAAAAATCAACATAGTAAATATGGCCATACTTCCAAAATTGTTATACAGTTTTAATGCAATCCCAGTCAAAATACATTAGCATACCTCACAGAAATAGAGAAAACATTCCTAACATTCATTTGGAATCAAAAGAAATGTAGAATAGCAAAAACAATTCTAGGCAAAAAGGCAAAGCAGGGAGCATCACAATCTTGGACTTAAATTTATACTACAGAACTACTATGATAAAAACAGTAAGGTACTGGACAAAAAGGAGAGAGACAGAGAGAGAGAGAGAGAGAGAGAGAGAGAGAGAGAAAGAGAGAAACAACCAAACAGATCTGAAGATCAATGAAACAGATTAGAAGAGGCAGAAACAACTTCAAATACACTCAGTCATCTTATGTTTGACAAAGTGGCCAAACATGTTTTTACTGGAAGAAAGAAAGCGCCTTTGATAAATTGCCTTGGTTTTCCACATGCCAAAAACTAAAACTAGATCCATGTATATCACTGTATACTAAACTAAACTGAAAATGGATCAAAGATCTAAATACTACGCAAACACTAAATCTGTTGGATGAGAGAGTAGATAGAACTCTTGAAGATGCAGATGTAGGCAAAGACTTCAAAAACAAAATCCCAACTGCATAGAACATACTACCAAAAATCAACAACTAGAATTTCATTTTATTGAAAAGTTTTTGCACAGCAAAAGAAATCATCAACAGAGTATAAAACTACAGAGTTCTTCTAAGAAGAACTAGTTGTTCTTCAAAGAACTAATATCTAGAACATACAAAGAATTTTTAAAAATCAGACCCCAAATTTAAAGACCCAACCCAAAAATGGGCATCTGAAATGAACAGTCACTTCTCCTAAGGTGTACAGGTGACAAATAAATACATGAAAAAATGTTCAACATCGCTAATTATTCGAGAGATGCAAAGTAAAACAATCCTGAGATTCCATCTCCAAGAAGAATGGCTATTATCAACAAATCAACTAATAACAAATAAATTCTGGCAGGGCTGTGGGGAAAAGGAATCCTTCTCTACTGTTGGTTGGTATGCAGACTGATGCAACCCCTGTGGAAATCAGTGTGGAGAATCCTCAAAAAATTAGGACTAGATATCCGATGGACCCACCAATTCTCCTTCTTGGTATTTTCCTAAATCTACCTTTTAGTATTAGATTTTATAACATTTTTAGAACTCAAAGATATGCATTTGGCTTTTAAAGAGCATTGCACCATTAAATAGGTGAGTCAGAAGCATTCACCACAATAATTCAGAGAAGAAGGAAAGGGTTTTTTTTAAACACAAATGTCTAAATTTGCTTTGTGCATATTATGATCATATCTTGTTGACTTCTGATTAAGGATTCAACTCCTAATTCTGTATTTTTCCTTAGGTTAAATTTAGAATGGCATTCTTACAAATTGATGTGCAAGTAAAATTAATAGGAGACAATAAATTATCAATCAGATTCTCTAGCTATTATATACTCAGAACATAAGAACCTCTTCTGTGAACCCAGAAAATCACCTAAACCATCTATATCAAAGTACTTCAGAGACAATTAAATATTATATGCTTATAAAATGCTCTGTAACCTTCTGGTACACTGAAAGTGCTAACAGGAGCCTTAGAAGACCAAAAGCTGAGCCATATTTGTATGTAAAATGGTTACTGTAGTGGTAGACTAGTTACAGTTTATATCTAGTGTCTCCCAAAAGCCTATGTACTCATTGATGGAGTGCTTGAAGGATGACTGCAGAGGGGGTGGCTAATGTGATGTGCAGAAGGAGGCCCTGGACAAAGGACAGGAGTCACTGGGAGCACGACCTGGAAGCATGGACCTCCCTCCCCAGTCTTCCCTTTGTTCTCTGCTTCTTGACCACCATGATGTAAGCAGCTCTCCTCCACTAGACCCTTCTGCCATGCCATCCTGTCTTGGAGAAGCTGCTTATGAACTAAAATTGTGAGGCAAAATAAACTTCTCCTTTAAATTGTGGGTGTCAGGTATTGTAACTAAGTGATGAGAAAATAAGGTATAGGCTAAGAAATAACACTGTTAGATTTTAGACAGCTTATACATCTTACATTTTCACATATTATTCCATTCTTAAATTTCTAATTGCAGAGTAATTAAAAACTTTACCTTAAAAAAGATAATGCAAAAAAACAAACAAACAAACAACAACAAAAAAAAGATAATGCAGAAAACTGAAATACATTATATTAAGCTTGTAATCTTATACACATGCTTATACTCTTGATAATACAGCATATAAGCAGGGCACAGCTGTGTTCTATACACACTTACGCTTCCATTAAAAACATGTACTTCTTATCCAGAAACTGTCTTATCAGGGTAAATTTTCATAGCCTATTTAACAGTGTAAAGGTATACTATCACTTTACTGTTATGGTTTATGTCTTGGTGTCCTCCCTTCTGGAGTTTGTGATTGATTCTTGGTCCATTGCTGCGGTTATGGGTCAGAGAGTGCTGGGGCAGATACTCTACATTAAAATGTAAGGAGGAGAGAAAGGCTAGCCAGCTGCCTGAGCTGCTGCCACTCCCCTTGTTCTTGCTGTTTGCTGCTTCCGTGAATGGCTGCTCTGTGCTGCCATGTACCAGTCTGCCTTAGAGCCAGCTGAGTATGCCCTGAAGCCACCAGTAACTGTGAGCTAAATAAACCTTTCCTTCCTTCATTCTGGGTGTCCAGTATTTGTCCCAGCAATGAGGGAAGAATAACTGAGACACTTACTATTACTTACTTTAAAAGAACAGAATTGCATGTTCATGTCAGTAGCAGAACATATGCTTAGCATGCACAAGGCCCTGAGTGTGATCCCCAGAATCACACACATACACAAACACACAAGCATGTGTGCACGCGAATATGTAAGTTAAATAAATACATTCAATGATAGAACTAAAGAGAACAAAGTATACACATGTATGGACTTATGGAATTGTGTAAACTAATTCTGCTGTTTGAAAATAACAAGCTTGGAGGTGCAACTGCATGGTGGAATACTTGCCTGGCATCTGTGGGACTCTGGGTTTGACTTCTAGTATCAAAAAATAAAAAGATAATGATAAAATCTAAAGCTTTATCATTTTTCTTAACATCTGATAGAATACTCCAACATTACATACACATAGATCTTTTCAGTTGAGGAATTAGTTACTGCAAAACTCTTATTTATATTCCCCAGTGGAGTACAATTACACTAGTATTAAACATATCATCTAAAAATGTGATATATTAGTAATACATTATTACACAAACAGAGGCCTATTGTAAATTTAATTTGCACATTTAACTACCTCATATTCCATTGTGGGAATTATCTATACACTGACATTTTTATTGCTCATTAATAATAAAATTACAGTTAAAATATCCTTAACTAAAAATGTGAATAGGGCTGGCCAGATAGCTCAGCGGACTAAAGCGCCATAGAGCAGCAGCCAGGGTTTGATCCCCAGAGTGCTGTGCCAGCCCTGTCCCCAAGCAATCTACGTGGCGAGACCCTGTAGGCCCTGGCCTAAATACAGAGAAGAAAAAAAAAAAAAAGATTTAAAAACTTGAATAGAACTGTGTGATCAGTGAGTATTACTTAATGTTACTTGAAAAATTATAACCATTTTCATAGCAAGTGTTCCCTCTTCAGGCTTTGCTGGAAAGCCAAGGAATCACTGTACCTCACAGAGCAGCAAGTCAATGATGTGGAACACCATGCAGAGTGGGAACTTGGCAGTGAAGAGGGTGAGGAACCACTGGGATGCGTACATATGGGCTTCCAGGTTCAGGTCACAAAAGCGGCTGTGCAGGTCTGGTAGCTGTTCCTAAGAGAGAAAGTGAAAAATGTAAGGAAAGGAACACTGAAAAAGCTTTCTTTTCTGCCACAATTGCAATTTATAACAAGCTTTCTGTGGGCACTTCAACTATATCCCAGGATTGGCTGTAGTTTATGTAACTACACTGAAGTGATAACAAGAGATAGGAATTGACCATATGACAGACATTTGAAATAAATACAGACAGACTTGTTACAAATAAATAGCAAAGCTTATCTTGCTTGCTTGACTGTTCTTGTTTCTGGGAAAATGCTTGGTCTGACAGGATACCTGCAGTCCAGTGAATATCTTGACTCAGGGTCAATAGCATCCCCACTGAAAGTTCACCTTCTACTGAGCTGAAAACATACCAGAGCTTTGGGCACCATCTAATATCAATATCACTTGGGGTCAGTGATAGTGTCTCAGTATGTTTTTTAGCACTTGCTTATATAACCAAATATTAAAAATCTAAGTAAAATTGTGCAAGGGTATAATATATAAAACTTATATATTATGTTATTATATGTATGTTATTATATGTTATTATGCTAAAAACAATGTAGCTATTGGCCAAAAACCAAATCTATATATATACTATATCCTAAAAATGCCTTTAGGTTAGCTTTGCTTTCTTTCTAAGTAAGACAATCAAATGCTCTTCAAGAACATGAAAGGTAAAGGAAAAAGAATTAGCATAACTAGTTTCCCATAACAGAAAGGGGAAGGCAGATAAGTAAAAGCTCATATTCATTTTGTTTTCATAAAATCATCACAAAAGCAAAATATTTTATGTACTTATTCTCTTTTCAAAAACACCCAAATGTGACCATCAAGTAGTTTCATTTAAGTACCCAAAAGGTCATCAAGCTAGCAGACAAAAATTGCTAACAGAAAAATATGATTGAGTTTGTTCACTGTACTACAATCTTACTCATTTGCTAGATGCACTTATTTGACTTTCAAAATCCTCAGAAATACTAATGGTTTAAAAAAAACTTGCTAAAAAAGATTAAAAAGTGAGTAACCCCAAATACTTGTTAGAATTTAATCATTTAAAAGTGCCAGTTGCTTTCAGTGTTCATAATCATTGGCTTCTTCCCCACCCCATGCCCAGCTGTCACACCGTGCTTACAGCTCATTTCTCTCCATTCCATCTCCACACATAAGGTCTTTTGCTCATCTACATTCCCCATCCCAATAGAGTTGCTCTTTTATTATTATTTTTTTATTTTTTTGTGGTACTGGGGATTGAACTCAGGCCCCTGTGCTTGCCAGGCAAGCATTTATTCTACTGAGCCATCTCCCCAGGCCTTAAAGTTGCTCTTTAAGCTCATAATCTCTTACTCCCCCATCCTTCCATCAGTCTCCTTCAGATTCACATCCCTCTTTAGATACATAGGGATTTTCCTGTCAGGTTCTATCACTGAAATTCTACCATTATGTTTCACTCCCACATCCCACTAACACGCTTCTCCAAACATTTTATCTTTCTTCAGTAAAGAATCAATCCATTCAAACACTTTTATATTTCTTTTGGTTCCCAATACAACTTTTAGAGAAAGTTATATAAATATGCTGAAGAGACCCATTATAAATTTATGATTTCCAAACTCAGATCGAACTTCAATGTTATCTAGTAATTCCTTGTGTCAGCTCTGCCAATAATTTTTCCCTTTCTCATAATTGTTATTATATAATATTTTATATAGATAAAGGAATATTTCTTATCCATAGTTTAAATAATATTATGAAGGACATTAAGAACATTGATTGAGGTTATGCATTTATATAGAAAAAATTAAAATATGTCATTACATTATGGTATTTTAAGTGTGTTTTATTCTCTTACTGACATCTCTTCTCTTTTCTATCTGTGAATTCAAGTACACTAATCTGCTAGTTAGCATGGAAAAAGATATTATATATTTCAATTTTTACTTGGTAATTACTTTTATTTCTCTTCAATAATACATAGCAGTATCTTCATTCACCATATCTCCTCTGTAAATTGTATTAAAGTTGAATATATAAATAGTGCTCAATACATATGCTATTATGCTAAAAACAATGTAGCTATTGGCCAAAAACCAAATCTATCTATATTTCTAGTAATCAAACTTCTACAACTTATTATTATTTATCAAATTTATTAGGATCTTTTGGTAACTCTATAAATCCCCAGGTGATGAAAGTTCCTAATTTTTATTTACCTGCATTAGTCTCTCCAACTGATAGAATTTGCAATGAAGATCTTCAAAGTTATTTTTGTAGAGGTCTCGCAAACCATAGTCATACATGATTTTCACCAAAACACAGAATGCTTGCTCCTCTGGCATCTACATGAAAACATACACATATAGAATATTGTAAGTAAGTGGCATTTGACCAGAATTTCAAAAAGTATCTTTATGTTATTAGACCTCTACATAATTATGATGTTGGCAATAGGCTTGACATAAATCTCATTTATCAGATTTCATAATTTGATACAAAGCTTCAATATTGAATCTCTCCCTTACATCCCTGTGTCCCTCAGGAAACAACATTCAATTGATGTCCAAAAATGAAATAATTATAAAGGTTTACAGTTGAACCACAAAGAAAAACTTGTAAATATGAACTAACAATTACAGCTCTTAATCCTTATTTTCTGAAATATGTATATCTGGAGGACAGTCCTAACCTTAGGAGTTAGCATTGTTTATATTTTACCTTAGCAACACAGCCAAGTTTTAAATTTTCAGCTAGTATGTCAAATGAAAATAGTATATTAAACCCACAAAGTACCAGTCCAGCTAAGATGGAATCAATACTCACTATCTATGAAGATTATGATTAGATTTAATAGAGTGTCATGGAATATTAGATGTTATATTATTACAAAATAGAATAAAATGAACTCTTCTGAAGACAAAAAAAAGAATGTTAACAAAATGAGTGAAATATGTATAATCCTGTGGAAAACAGAAATGCAATATTCTTTTTCTAGTTTAAAGATTAATGGGATCGCTATAGCATGTCTATTTCAGCCTTCTGTGGTATCTCTCCTTCAATTAATTGTTATTATCACTACCAGCAGTCAGGGTAAACATAAAAAGTCAGGGCAAACCAAAAATGTCAAAGATTTTAAAAAAGAAATCAAGCATCTAAAAACTCTACAAAATAGTACTAAATAGCATTTACTGATTGACATTTATACTGTGAAGAAAAAAATTTCACATATAAGGTTGTAATAGTATTTTACTTTTGCACTTATGACAACACATGTTTGAAGAAGATATACCTCCGTGTGGGGGCGTTATCAGAGAGTAAAAAGACTAATTTATAAATGTATGAATGTAAATACATGACATGAAAACATTTTAGATATACTAAACAATATTCACTTTCTGATGCTTATTAATGACTTCAATGATGGCTGAAAATTTTACTGAATAAATTGTTAGCCGTCTCTACAAATGAACATCAAACTATACTAGTAATTCCAAGAACAAACTGGCAAACAGGGGCCCTGCAATACTGTTAACCATGTGAGGTAATGACCCATACCTCAGGGAATACTAGAAAATAAATGGACTGGAACTCAGTGTGAAGTACAGCAATGATGCAGCAGCACACCATTATATACTATTTCTACTATGTAGGTAAAATAGATAATGGTATAGCCTCAAAATCACAGATAAAGTGAAAAGTTGAATTATTTGTTACTTTTTCTTCTTCAGATTTAACTTTAAATTTGTATAATTTAATTCTTAACAATAGATGTGTTTACCAAATGATTCATAAAATTCCTCAAATTTAAACAATTGCCTCATTAACTGGAATGGTCTGGTTTCAGCACAGTTCTGATACAGACCATAATGAAGAGTCAGCACTGTACTCTAAGTGCAGTTGGCAATCACTAGAGAGCCTTAGGCAGGAGATCAGAGTTTTATTTTTACCAATATCAATTAGCTTCTGTATGGAGAAAACATTACAGGAAAAGAAAAGTATAAATATGTTGGTTTAGTAGAATCTGTTACTTTCACTTTGTATGAACCTGTAATCTGTAATAAGCTATACTCTACTATTCCCCTCAAAAAAGGCTATCCAGTAACAGATGGGGAATACAGAAAATGTGCTACAGTGGGAAAACACAATTACGAAGTTATAACAATACATGTGAATCCCAAGATAAGCTTTTAGTTATCAGATGATCTTAAGCCAGAAACTTTTCAATGCCTGAATCTATTTAGTTCTAAAAACTTAAAAATAATAACACATGTTTCACAGGAATACTGTCAGGATTAAATGAAACATATGTATGTGTTATTGGTAATCAATAAATGTAAATTACTTTCTCTTTACCTCTTTGAAGATGGACTACATTATACATATTATAACTACCACAGAACTTTATACAATGGTACTCAAAAGAATAAAAAAAGTCACAAGTAAAAGTTTTACCTAATTGTAACTTTTAAAAGTAAAATTTGGTTTTTACTTTTAACAATTTTACTAGAATAAGACCTAAGTGTTACAATAAGTTGCTAGAATATATGCTCTTCTAAGTAGCAAAAATATGCTATTTTATACATAAATAACAGCATTTCTTACATGTCACTAAAAAGAATGCCTTTCCTACCTCTTTGTATAAATCAATGAGTGACAAGCTGTACTTTCCCAGTTCTCCTTGTGGTTAGGACATACAGGTTGAGTGTGAATTACTGGACTGGGTGAGACCAGGTAGCACAGCTCTACCTTTGAAATTTTACTGATCTTAAATAGAACATAGATCATAAAGTTTTTGTTACTCCCTTTAACTTTATGAAATCTTTACTCTGAATCCAAAACTCCTTCTTACATGGATTACATTACTTGCCCATCTCTAGTCTCTGTAATTTTATGTTCCTGAACTTCCCCCAGACCTTAACATGCACTGTCCAACAAATACCAGTGTGATAGCTGATTGTGTCAATTTGAGCAATGCCCAACTAAATTAGTTAAGCATATAGCTCTGGTATGGAGCCACGTGGGGGGAATTATCACCAGAATGGTAGAAAAAGGGAAACAAGGAAGGATTGCCTCTGTTTTCTTCTGAGGAGTTCCAGTCTTCACTTTCACTTTGGACACTGTCTCCTGGCTTCCAACACAGATTCATCGGCCTCCAGTGCCAACCCTTCCAGCGCACATCCTTCAGCTTTCCATGACACAGCCCTTGGCCCTGATACAGACTGATATAGACCTTGAACACCCTGAGACCCTGGGACACTACCCTGAGTTCCAGACCTTTGCTAGTACCCTTCAGATCTGCAGTGCACAGACAGACCTATTGCACTTTTCCATAGCTCACTTTGTGGGCAGCCACTGGAACCCAATTTTATAAAATCTTACATAATATGTGTATTTTATGTTAAATCTATTTTCTCTAGTAAGCACTGACTGATATACCAAGTATTAAATATTTTTGAAGGATAACTTTAATAAAACTCTTAAGTACATTTGCCTATAAAAATGGAAGCATGCAACATGAGGAAAACAATCAACTAGGTATTGCCAAAGTCTACAAGTTAACAAAAATGTAGAAAGTGGCAAGAAAACCTGAAGCAAGTAGCTGCTAAATGAAGCACTATTGGGCTTGATTTCCGGTGATATTATTACAACTGTATAAATATAAAGAGTTTTGTACTATCTGTATTTTGTGTTGACTATCAACTTGTCTCTAACATAAAGAAAATCAAGATCTGAGACTCAAAATCTGGATGTACTATCAAACCTTATCTTACTACATGCCGTTGACTCATTAGATATGGTACCTACCAATTTAAAAATAAAAACTTCAGGGCCGGCCAAATAGCTCAGTGGATTAAAGCATCTGCAAGCAGGAGCAGGGGCTGGGGTTCCTGGGCCTGACATGAGGCCTCACCCCTGGGGCATGCTGAGAGGACAATTGAGACTGAGCATGGTGGCGGCACCTGTAATCCCAGCTCTTGTGAGGCTGTAAACAGGTGGTTCACTACGATTCTGATGTAGTAGTGAGATCCTGAACACCCTGTAGACCCTTCAGTAAAATATAGAAAAAAAAAATAAAAGCTTCAAAATGACTAATCTATTACAATGATTTGATGTTTCACTGAGCAAGATAATCCAATTTATCAATGGTATGCAATTACTTTAAAGTACAATAAAAATAACTGAACAATATATTTTAAATAAAATATGAACATGTGGGAACATGGTGGGTCTTTAATATTTAACACTCACTTTTGCCATGTACAGTTATTTTGTTGTGTAATTGGTGCTATTTAATTCAGGGAAGCAGAAGATAAACATTAAAATCTTGTAATTTAAGATAGCAAATTATCATTCATGGCCCTATGAAATACAAAATGAAATATATGCCTGGAATTCATAGTCAAGCATGTTGTAATCACTGTTTGGTAACAAATGTTGATAATGATCTGCCATCTGTGCTAATGGAAATGATCATTGACTGGAGACAGTCTCCAAGCTTCACTGCTTATCTCCAGAATGAACAGTGAATCAAGGCATTCTAGGTACTTCAAACGTCTTTGAGACTCCTGTGAAGTTGTGTACATCAAGATATTTTTTGAAGTAAATTTCCATTTTGATAATTAAATTAATTTCCATAATTAGGATAAAATAATTTCCTATTCTATATTATCATTTCACATCCCTTTGAATGATCATTTTTTCCCATAAAGGCAATGACCACTCCACTGATTTTGTGAAGTTTCTACAATAAAGATGGATATTAGTCACTGTTTTAGAAGTTATAAGCTCATGAGTCTTCATTTTCTGTTTATATTCAAAAAATCAAACAGAATGAAAACTGTTAACCATTTGTTTAATTTCTTCTAAATGTTGTAATACATTTAAACTGAATGTCTATTAGCCATCAAGCACAGTCATTTCCTATGTATTATAAATATATAAATGTGTAGAAGCAGGGGCCAAAAGAAAATGGGCTAAGCAAATAATTAATAACTTAAAAATAAAAGCAAAAGTTACTATTAATAAATATTATAGCATGATTCTTTGATTCTCACAAAAGTCCTTCAAAGTAGCTAATATTTCACATATAAGACTAGTGAAGCTCAGAAGTTAAGTGATTTGTCAACTACAAATCTTTTTGTTAAAATTGGATTGAGTATCATGACTATGTTGTTTTGTTGCAACATAAAAAAGAAGTCATAAAAATGTTTAATACAATAACCCTAGAAGAACAATAAACTTATTTCCATTTTATAAATGGAGAGCCTAAAGTTCAGTATAGAAATCTTCCCCAAAGTCATATAACTTGACAGGTATTAAATCACAATTCAAATTCATAGTT